ACAGTTTGCCATTTATCTTTTGATTTAGCATGTATAATAACTGCTTTTGCCATGCAGAAGGTTTTCCTATACGCAAGTTATACAGGAGTTAAGCTATGGTTTTTTTGTAACACTTTTGTAGTCTTAATTTTTTTCTTTTCGATCTCTGGTCCATTTGTAGTTTATTTCTTGTACGCTGTGAAGAATGGATCTAATTAACCTTTTTCCAAATGCTAAATCACTTATTAATTCTTAATCTTGTCCTTGGACTTTTAAAAGCTTTTTCTGTGAAGTGAGAAGAATTCTTGAGATACAGATTTGTATGTAATGCCTAATATGCACATGTACACATAGACCAGGCCATAAAGTTTAAAAACAGAGTTCCTAGTAGAGGCAAAATTTCCTTCTCTTCATGCAGATTAGGCTGGTATATTATGAAATGCTAACCTAACCTCCACAGCAGTCTAGGTCTTCACTACCTTTAGCATGGTAAGGAGTGAAGAGACTTGCTCCCAAATTGCTTCAGGGCAGCTCCTGAGAGTGGATAGCATGTCTTGGTCATTTGACTGTTTATATATGAACATTAATTGTAATACATAGGACAGTTAATGGAAAACTACAAGAGGAAGGTATTCACAAAGATGCTGCTAAAATAAATTTCATAATTTGTGTTTGTGGTCTGTGTAGCTTTAGGACGTTAGCTAGCTTTTGTTCTGAAACTGGTAATAGCCAATAATTGTGACGAGACACAGTTTGTAAGCATAGCTTGTCCTCTTTCTTGGGCCTTTTGTCCCATTGATGGGTAGTACCTTCTGAAGGGTTGGAGAGATAAGGAGTCCTGTGCCCTCCTCCATGGCCATAGTTTTTCACAAAGCATTTCATAATATTTTTCTTCTGTTTCCTTTTTTAGTATTTATTTTAAATTCAAGTGCATCCAATTCCTTTTCCATTTTAAAGACACAAAATTGACGTATATTGGTTTCCCAAATGCTTTACCATGGCCTGTTTATGACCTGTGATTTTCTCAGGGTTATAGAGTAGGGCAGAAAACTTCTGGGAAACTGAAAGGAGAGAGAATCTTTTCCTGCCTTAAGTACCTTTCCTTTTTCTTTTCAATACTCTGCTACATTGTCTAGAAGGACATTACGAGCTGCTGAAACACACTTTTCATCTAAGCAAATATGTTGGTTCTCGTTTTAGTAAGGTTTTTTAAGTTGTTTATTTTCCTGAGGGGGAAGATACATATCATTGGGTAAGCTGTCAGTAATTAGGAAGTACTGTTGTTCTAACAGGTGCATGGCTAAAGGAATAATTGGCATGAATGTGCTGAGTACCTAGAATCCCACAGTCCTGCCCATGATATGTCACAAGACTTGTGGATCGTGTACAACGTTCTGAGTGTTAGTGTTCAGCTTAATTTATTTTATTTAATAACAAATTTTACTTTTGTTTCCCTAATTGGTAAGCGACTGTATATTTACTTTAGTTGCTGTGGACCCCAAAGGGGTCAGCTAGTTTGTCAAAAATTACCATAACAGCAAATGCAGTTTGTTTTAAATCCTTATTCTATAAGTTACTGTGTGACTTTGGGCAAGATTCTTAACCTCTCTGGGCCTCACTTCCATCATTTGTAACCTGGTAATAACTAATACATTGTGAGGACTAAGTGAGGTAATATATGTATATGAAATTCTTTGGAAGTTGCCTGATGCATGGCAGACATTCAGTGAACTGTACTGGTCATCGTTATTATTTTAAATTATTATTGTGTTAAGAA